GTCAGATGCTATTTAGTAACGATTGTCTGGACGAGTCAATTACCGAGTTTAAGAACAACACAGTAAATCGATACACTACAGCGTAAGCCTCTGTTATCATAATCTGATGTGACGTATTTATTCGTCAAATTAGCAGCAGCATAACGTTTGTGGTGATTTCACTTTTACGAAGAGAAACACAAGCAAGAAAATTGAGAAATTCGTGACCACAACCAGTCATACCACTGAACGTTCTATCGAAAATTTGCTTACACATAATTTTGTTTTAGGCTATGACCTTTAAAAGTTTGTATACATACTGATGTAACAAAACGGTCACACGGTACTCCACAAAGAGTGGATGTGTAGTGGACGAGAACAGAGGTGGGGCAACCGGATTGTATTTAACGAAAATTACAGAGTTACTCAGTAAAATCGGAAATCCATTTCTTAAATCGTTAATTTGCAAAATATCAGTTCATCATATCGAACTGGACTGTTCCTGTTGCAAAACATCAATCCATTGTCACTATTCATGCGTTTCATACAAATTACACTGTGTTCTAACTCTTCCTTTCTTGATCTTCCCCCATCTTCTGCTGCCAGACATTACGTTGACACTCACGTCATATACTACTTATAAGTAGCTCACACCACAGATGGACCTGAGCCATGTCGTTCAAGGTCTCCAACCATTGATGACTTTCATCTCGTGCACCCCAACCAGGTAGCCCGCACTTTTCAACACCACTCACCCCACCTATCAGTGAATCCATCGATTTCTGTCATGTTTTGGTTTGGCCAACCCTAGCTTTGTCCCAACTTAGGCTGATCAGAAGACTCTGCATTTTGTCAGCGTCTTCACCGAATAGAACTATGTCATCAGCATATTCTAAGTCAGCAAGCATTTCTCTTGGTAAACGGTCCACACCTGAAAAGTCAGACGATGATAATGTTAACTCTAGAAGCATATCTACGACAAAGTTAAACAAGAATAGGGAGAGTGGACAGCCTTGATGGACACTACTTGAAGTAATCAATGTCGATGACAGTTCGCCATAAGCTCTCACCCGACCTGTAGTGTTCGAGTAGAGAGCTTGTATAAGTTTAATGTACTTCTTTGGTACACTTTTCAATGACCGACACAGCCACAGAACCTCACGATCTACTGAGTCAAATGCCGCCATAAGGTCCGGGAACACAACTATTGTAGGACGCCTAAATGTGTATCTGTGTTCCAGGACCTGTCGTAGAGTGAACATGTGGTCTATACAGCCACGTCCAGGTCGAAAACCAGCCTGGTTTTCTCTAGTCTGCTCTACACGAGCACTAGTAAGGCGTCTAAGTCTAAGGGAGGTTAACAATTTAGATACTATATTAGTTAGATCTCAGTCAACCTAGCTGCTAAAACTGCACCACCATCCTTAAAAATCTCAGGAGTTAGCCGATGTGGACCTGCTGCTCTACCTCGCTTTATATTTCCTGTAGCCTTTTCAACTTCATAAAGGTTCGGAGGGCTTACGTCAACTTGCCATTTAGAACGACTGGAGATCGTGGGTATCCGAAGTGTGGCTGAAAGCCAGTTGAACTGATCCCTAAAGTGTTCTGCTCATCGGTCCAGTCTCCTGGATTGAGAATGGATAATAAGACCATCCTTTTCCGAAATAGTCTCACTCACATTTGGGTTCCTAATACCAGTTTCCTTGATAAGTCGGAAAAGTTGAGGGGCGGTTGTCACTTACTGGCTGCCCACACTGTGGAAGGGTGTTTCTTGAGTAACCTGAAAAAGAAGATAGATTAGTGTCGGTCTGAGAGCCTGGAAACCTGACAGCAGAGCTCAAGGGACAACTGCTTGAGGCCGGTCCCGCACGGCCTTTTGATGAGAGGGGTTTTGAGTATTAGCTCCGCTCATTCTACAAGGCTCTTCCGCCGGAGACGGAAATCCGTCAGGTAGGGTGAGGTGTGACATTCTTAGGGTCAACCTTTTCTAGCCCCTTCCTTCCTTGTGAGAAGGCAGCATCGCTGCAGATGCTGGTTATCCGAGGGAAACACCTTACTGCCGTCACACCTCTTTGCAGTCAGCAGTACGACTTCGCCCTCAGACCTTGAGTAGCTGCTTAAATCTCAACGTTCTCCAATCGACCTACCTGGCGTGGTAGAACCTTCAGGAACGTAAGTTCCAGCCAATATAGCTCGGTTGGGTCATTACGATAGGCAAGCCAGACCACCACGTCAAGGTAGCAGCTTCCTTCGGGTACCGCTCACATGGTAAGAAATGTCTCAGCATCAACATGGTTAAAAGCGCTAGGTATAGACTATGAAGTTTGTATGATAAAGTGCAGTAGGTTTTCAGTCTTGGCATATGATGACTCTTAGGTTACACCATGATTGTTCTGGATGCGATAATTTCCGTATTTCATTTTGAAGCTGTAGACCATCAACTTCATGTTTCATCGCTCTCCATCTCGATGTCATCCGTGTACAATAAAACTGGTGGAAATAAGATATTCGGAACGTTAATAACGTGCAGGAGGAACAATACTAGTCCCCAAACTGTACCCTGAGGCACCTCGCCGAGCACAGTTTCCTGGCTAGACAACTTCTGAGTAACCCATACTCCTTGTTGGCGTTGGATTAGAAAGTCCTTAATCCATGTAGTAAGCTTTCCCAGTGTCACTTTACTCAGACAAAAGCCATTCTAAAGTCAATAAAGATTACATTTATGGATAGCTTTTGATCTTCATGAACGCATCAGATTTTCGGACTGCCAAAATGTTCGTGAGATATGAATGGTCTCTTCTAAAGCCAAGCGGCTCCTTAAGGAGAATTTACTTTTCGTCTAATTACTCAGACAGATCCTAACAAATAATCATTTCTGAAATTTTCATAACCACGTTTGTTAGACTTGAGGGTCCATAGTACTTAGGTTTATGTCTCGTGCCTGTTTTGAAGATAGAACTGACTGTGTTATTATTGCAGTCTTCTGTTAATCTTACCTGGCTTAATGATAGATTAGGACGTCTGCTAAAGTAATTTATGCTTGAATTTGCTACTTTCCTGACCTATTTAGGATGCATTTCATTGCATCACGTGGACTTACCTGAATAAATGTTATTCAACAGGTAGAGGATATCAGGTTCCTTGATAGTCACAGTATCCGGAGTGTATGTGAAGAGACTACTGTTTTCGATTAATACTAGTGAACTGCTTCTTTTAGTCAGTTTCTGGTTGTTCTAGAACAAAATAGTTAACTAAACAGCATAATAAATGATTGATCAATAAGTGTTCGATACCTAAGAATTAATAAGACGGGATCAAATATTAATCAACTAGGCTTCCAGGAACTGTTCCCAGAGGACAGTCAAACATCAACAATCATTCAGGTAACCATGCTGTATCCTGAAGCTTATTCAAGCACTACCTTTTTGCCAATAGCTTGGCAGCAAGCAACAGTAAAATAAAATAATAAAGGTTAGCACTAACCAAAGTCAAATACCTATGTTCTGGGAATATTAAACTCATGAACATGGTCGCAAGAGTCCTTTTTAAAAATTGGAATACATATGTTGGGTGTTGGGTTCATCAACTAAGTTCTTGTTCAGCCCATAGTTTGCATTGGGGCAAATCAAGCTAAATGACACATACTTTTTCTTGAACTTAAAGCAGCAAATAACTAATTCGCGCATCAGACTTTCGTGGGATATGTTTTCGAGGATGACAAGAATATTCTTCGCCTTTTAGGTTTCTCGATTTTGTTGGCTATAGCAAATGAGAAACCTTCAAAACCAAGCTTTCGGTTGTCTTAGACTGGTTCAATCGATTTTCTGTGGTGGCAATTACGTACAGCTTAACTTAGTATATCGGTACACCCAAATGCAGTCGCTTGCTTTTGTGTGGCAAACTCAAGGACTATTTAAATGACTTCGTGCCGCACGTGAAACAGCCTCATACTGTTTCAACATCTAGTCTGTAAACTACCAGCAAGGTGAACATGGAGATATCTTGAGTGGTTGACCAATTTAATAGACATCTAATCAACTCAGTGTCATAAGAAACGCGGATTCTAAGTTCAGGATTTTCACTCCGTTTGACTTTATGGACTGTAACTTCGATCATTTATCGACTTCATGATTGCTGTTGAGGAGACTTGCTTTTGCTTGAAGACATTAGATCATCTCTTTTTTCTTTTTATCAGTCATTTTTCATTGAAGTAGCAATCACAGTAGTATTACTCACACTGAGATCATGGAAGATGTTTTTCTGCCAGAAACAAAGTCAGTCGTACAACTAATTTTTCTGGGTGTTTCCCTACTGTCACCACTTGGTGAATGCAGCACAGAAGAAACCAGCTTTCTCTGGTTTTTAAACCGCGTTCTCCTAAATAAATCCTTTCTCTTTTAGCCCACGTAGCCGAGTCAACTCTGGTCTTATTTGAATGGACTCTCATCGATTTTCGAGTCAAGAAAACGAGCGTCACTAGACCTTTTTAGGCTGTGCATACTATTATGTCTTTTGATATGGTTCGTGATTACTATGGCTCCGGACAGAAAGCTCTTTCCTTTTGAGCACTTTTGCTAGCATGACCACATAAACCAGTTTGTAGTCAACCATTTTAAAGCTGTAGGTGCGAACTTCGCAGTAACAGCTTTTTTACTTATGACGCTGCATACCACTTTTCAATGATTGAGTGCTGACAAAACTTCTTTCACATTGTCCAGTAATCGAAATAAGGTTCCAAACGGCTTAGACAGAAAGACATGTATGAATGAAAACTAAAAGTTTGCCGACATATTATACTGTTTTCTTTAGTTTTTAACCACTTATAAGTGCAAAAGTAATAAGGTTGAAGATTGTTCTCTTTGGTAGGAGAGAATCTGAGAGTAATTTAATATTGAATGTAGGCGCGCAGTACGGGTCTGTTTCTTAGTGTGTCAACTTGTTTGTACATATATAAGTCTATCCTTTTTTACTTATACTAAAGATAGCGGAAAGGATTTGAGTGTAGTTATCTTGCTTAAAAAATGGTTTGTGATCACTTTCCTCATAATTCTGTGAATAGGGTCAAAAGCAATCTAGCCAAGAAGGAAACAAAAAGGATGATAAGGTGAGAGACTATATATTTTTTATTTCCAGACTAAACGAAGGGAATTCGACCCACCAGTGCCTACTAGAATGGGTAAACACAAACGGTCGAAAGGTCCAGATAGTGCCAACAAATTACCTCAAGTTACACCGCACACACGTTGCAAACTTCGATTGTTAAAAATGGAGAGAATCAAAGACTTTCTACTTATGGAAGAAGAGTTTATCAAAAACCAGGAGCGTCTTAAAACAGATGAAGAGCGTCATGAGGTGATTAATATTAATTTTCTTAACTTGTTTTAGGAAGAACGGTCAAAAGTAGATGACTTGCGTGGCACTCCAATGTCTGTGGGGACGTTGGAAGAAATTATTGACGACAATCACGTCGTAGTATCCACCTCTGTTGGTAGCGAGCACTATGTAACTATCCTTTCTTTCGTCGATAAGGGTATGCTTGAACCTGGTTGCTCTGTCTTGTTAAACCACAAAGTAAACAAAGTATTTATTTCCATCAACCGAGTTATTTAGGTTCATGCTGTTGTTGGTGTCTTGACGGACGAAACTGACCCCATGGTTACAGTTATGAAATTAGAAAAGGCTCCTCAAGAAACCTATGCAGATATTGGTGGACTCGATGTACAAATACAGGAGATTAAAGAATCAGTTGAACTTCCTCTAACTCATCCTGAGCTTTATGAAGAAATGGGTATTAAACCACCTAAGGGTGTAATTTTGTATGGAGCACCAGGCACAGGTAGGATTCCCTCTTCTGCGTGTGTATTTGTTAACGTAAACTCCTTGAATTTGTTTCGTATATATATATATATATATATATATATATATATATATATATATATATATATATGTCGACAGCTATTCCTAATGAATTGTGATTCTATCGCCAAATTCTTATGAGTTCTAACTAGGATTTCTATCCAACTGTTTCCTCAATAACAGGATTTGCCAATGAATGTTTTAGCCATCTTCATCCACCTACAAAACGTGTCAATCTGTTGTTGTCAAAGTCGGTTGAAATCAATCTCCTAAGTTAACCGTCGAATAATCCACTATTAGTGTGTAATTTTATTATGTTGGCAATTTTCTGGTATTTTTTACAGGCAAAACATTGCTAGCTAAGGCTGTTGCTAACCAGACATCAGCTACCTTCCTTCGTGTTGTCGGGTCAGAATTAATCCAGAAGTATTTAGGTGATGGTCCGAAGTTGGTTCGTGAGCTGTTCCGCTTAGCTGAAGAAAATGCACCCAGTATTGTATTTATTGATGAGATCGATGCCGTGGGGACAAAAAGGTCAGTGGATTTTCAAGTATCCCATGTATAGTAGGATAGTCACTAGTAGATGTAAGTGCATGAGTATTCGTGATACGTTTCTCCTTCAGATCTACAGTGTTTCAGAACTGGTTTACGTTAATCATAGACTAATGATAATTTCACTTAAAGTCTGAACACATTACTTGTCGGTAAAGAATGAAGTTTCTACACTAAAACAACAATACCTATTAGCTTTTACCCACTTACAGAGTTAATATTGATTCCTCTTTCGTTTCTCATATTAATTTCTTGTCTTGCTGTGCTGATGTACAGTGTAGCAAGTTGACCCGATTCAAATTTGTGCCGGATCCTACGTTGATGTTGGCTGACGGTAAATAACAAACTATTAAGAAGTAAATGGCCATAGAGATATTATGAGTTAATATTCAGTAATGAAATTATTAGACATGTATCTTCGTACATTTCGCGCTTGCTTCTCGTGGCCTCTTTGGTGTAGGTTCAGCATTAAGTCCTACTGCAGAACTAGCTCTCCTGGACTGGATCCCAGTAGATAGTCGCTTGTGCGCTGTCCGACTAAACGGAACAGTAAGGACCCGTAAAGATAGGGAAACTCGTAGTTGCCTCTTCATTGTCTCTGCATATGTCCCTACTGACTGCAACTCGGACGAGATAAAAGAGTTATACAGAAAGCTTTCGGACCTCCTCAAAAACGTTAGGCACGGTGATATAGTAACGGTTGCTGGTGAATTCAATGCGCACGTCGGTAGACTCAGTGAAAAGGAGAGATACGTGGATGGATCTTATGGTTTCGTGCTTCAAAGATCAGACAATGACGACCGTCTATTGCAACCGTGATAATATAATCTCCTATTTTTAGAAAACACGAACTTTGAGCACATGGAAAAACATCTCTTGACCTGGCGAACCCCAAAGCGAACAAAGATAGGATTATATTTCAGGAGCCACTATAAAAAGTAAGGCAGCCATGCAAATGATGCCCACCCATGGGTAGCTTGTAATAATATCGAAAAAGCTGTGAAAACAGTGATATCTACCAAGATGATAAACCATAAGCTTAGGGAGAAACTGGATTTGATTAATATCTACCAAACTGATAGGTGCTTGAAAACTCATCCCATCTGGCTCCAAACGTGACAAACAGCGAGGTTAATTGAATCGCAAGCCGATAAGAAGCATAAGCAATGATCGGAACAGCTTGGACAAAATATTAACACTGGGGCAGCTCCTAGAACAAAGAAATACGTTCAGACGCCCCACAATATTAGTATTTATCGACTTTTAAGCGGCATTCGACTCTGTTGATCGTGAGGTTCTGTGGCTGTGGCTGTCATTAAAGCATGTACCAAAGAAGTAAATAAACCTTAAACAGGCTCTCTACTCGAACATCACTGGTCGAGTTAGAGCTTATGCCGAAATGTCATCGACATTGATTACTTCAAGTAGTGTCCATCAAGGCTGTCCACTCTCCCTATTCTTGTTTAACTTTGTCGTAGATATCGTCTGACATTTCAGGTGTGGACCGTTTACCAAGAGAAATGCTTGCTGACTTAGAATATGCTGATGACATAGTCCTATTCGGTGAAGACGCTGACAAAATGCAGAGTCTTCTGACTACCCTAAGCAACAATGCAAGCATGTTCGGGATGCGGTTCTCCCCCTCGAAATGCAAAATGTTCCTTCAGGATTGGGTTGCATCGGCACCTGAACTAGTGATAGGAAGTGAAGTAGTCGGGCGTGTAGACCGCCTCACTTATCTCGAGAGTCTCATCAGTGCTGATGGCCTGGTGTATGACGAAATTTCGGTACTATGCAGAAGGCTCGACTAGCTTTTTCCAACTTGCGTCACTTATGGCATCGGCGAGATGTCCGTTTACTAAACAAAGGACGAGTGTACTGCGCATCAGTTCGCTCTGTCCTACTATATGGATGCGAAACATGGCCGGTAGGAGTTGAGGATATTCGTACGTTATTAGTATTCGATTATAGATGTCTCCGAATCACTGCTCGTATATCCTGGGACAACCGAGTAAGCAATGCTGTCGTTAGGAAACGAGTACTAGGTAGGGGGTGGCAAATCAATAGATGAAATGTTGAAACTTCATCAGTTGACGTGGTTGGTACATGTGTTACGTATGCCTAACGACCGAATGCCTCGACGAGCTATGTTTTGTGGTGTAAGAAAAAGTTGGGACAAAGCTAGGGTTGGCCAAACCAAAACATGGAACAAATCGACGAATTCACTGATAAGTGAACTGCGTCATGTTGATAGATATGGGCTACCTGGTTGGGGTCCGCGAGATGAAAGTCATCAATGGTTAGAGACCTTGAACGACATGGCTCGAAACCGTTTGCAGTGGTTAGTGTGAATCCACTCTTTGTGTTCTCTCAAATTCGAACCTTCCGAATTCCTCATCATCTATCTTTCTCCTTCCTAATTTATCTCAATGAATTGTACTTCTTGAACAATATCTTCGACCTCTAATATTATCTATTACCACTAATTCTTCTACTATCCTCACTACTATGGTATTTGAACTGACGTTGGCGTCAATGTTGTATGGCAATGTGAACTGTCGTACGTACGTACGTACGAAGTTCTACGTTGTAACTGAGTGACTGAGGTTTAGCACTAAATGTAATAAGCAATGCTTCCTTTTGAACCAGAGTGTATCTCTAAAGCATTTTTTGATTTGTCAAGTGATGGTTCCTTGTTATACGCCATCGATTCTTAACCATTTTGTCAGGGCTTCAGAATCTATATGCACCGTAGGATTAATCTCCATAGTTTCATAATAATAAACCGATTTGATGTTCGTGAGCACACTATTTATAGGTTCTTAGTTTAACTAATTCTGTCCACCTTTTGTAAGGTGGGTGGGACACCCGAGTGAGCAACGCTGTTATTAGGAAACGGGTGCTAGGTAAGAATGGCAGATCAATAGATGAAGTAGTGAAACTTCATCAGTTGAGGTGGTTGGGACACGTGTTGCGTATGCCTAACCAGCGACTGCCTCGTCGAGCTTTGTTTTGTGGTGTAGGAATAGGTTGGAAGAAAGCTAGGGGCGGCCAGACCAAAACATGGCACAAATCCATGAAGTCATTGACAGGTGGACTGAGCCATGTCGGTGTTTGTCTACTACCTGGTTGGGGTCCGCGAGATGATAATAATCGATGGCTAGAGACTTTGAATGACATGGCTCAAAATCGTTCACAATGGCGCCAGTGCATTTATTCTTTGTGTTCTCGCAAATCCTAATCTTCTGAGTTCTTCAACACCTCTAGTTTTTACTTTCTAAACTTATCTCATTGAATCATACTTCGTGAATAATATCTTCTAATTCTAACCCCTCCGATTACTTCTAATACCTTTACTACCTCTTCTACTATTGGATTTGAATTGACAATTATATCTCTGTGCTGATGTGGTATGGCGACATGAACTGATGTACTTACGTACGAAGTTCTACGTTGCAACTGACTGACTGACTGTCCACCTTTTGTACTTGGAGACTATTGAAATGAATAGCAGCTGCAACAAGAAAAAGACTTCACATACTAATTAACACAGATGATTTCTTACTGGTGTGCTTATACTTGGATGAATATAACTGCTTAGCACCTCCGCATATATAAATATATATATATATATATATATATATATATATATATATATATATATATATATATATATGGCCACATTCATCACAAGGTCAACCATTCGGTAGCTTGCGGACACAGGTACTCGCGCATATTCCAATTTCGTAAAAGCGTTTTAGGGTTACTTGAATGAAAGGGTTACGCGTGTTCTTCATAAATAACATAGTTTGTAGTTAGGAGTATTTCACGGGAAGATCCATTTAATACGCCCCTTACTATAGTTTTTTCCACTCAGATGACCAACCCCATTTGACTCAAAAGACAAAGTCATGTTTAAATACTTATTCATTTCAATTAGAACTAGACATCTCAAGGTTCAGGGATGAGTTTTATTTCTGTCATGTGGTCATGCTTTTGCTATCTGATATAATTTCTGCAAATTTAAGCCAGACCAAAACATGGCAGAAATCCATGAAGTCACTGACAAGTGGACTGAGTCATGTTGGTAGATGTAGACTACCTGGTTGGGGTCCGCGAGACGAAAGTCATCAATGGTTAGAGACCTTGAACGACATGGCTCAAAATCGTTTGCAATGGCGCAGGTGCATCCACTCTTTGAGCTCTCTCAAATCCTAATCTTCTGGATTCGTCAGCTCTTCTACCTTTGTCTTTCTAACCTTATCTCACTGAATTATATTTTTTTTTTGAATAATATCTTAAACCCTAGTCTTCTTTATTATAACATTAATACCCCTACCATCTTTATCACTATGGGATTTGATTTGACATTTGCATCTCTGTGCTAATAATGTGGTATGGCAACATGAACTTATGTACATACGTACGTACTGACTGACTGAATTTAAGCTGCATAGCACTGTACTCAAACAGTATATTTGTTAGATAATATTTGTGGGAAGAGTAAAGTGAGCCAAGTTATTTTTTATTACTATTTTCATACACAGTTACTTTCACCAGGTTTGCTTCTTTTATTGTCGATAGGGTTACATAAATGGTTTTTTCGAATTACACTGGGTTCGTACACGTTATATGTAAGCTAGGCTAAGTTCGATTCGCTAATTTCTTTCTTTTGATGATTATCTTAGGTACGAATCAAATTCAGGTGGTGAACGCGAAATACAAAGAACGATGTTAGAACTACTCAATCAACTGGATGGTTTTGATTCTCGTGGAGACGTAAAAGTTATTATGGCTACTAACAGAATTGAAACGTTGGATCCTGCACTTATCAGGCCTGGTCGAATCGATCGTAAAATCGAATTCCCTCTTCCTGATGAAAAAACAAAACGTCGTATTTTCAGCATTCATACAAGCCGCATGACTTTAGCAGAGGACGTGAATTTAGAGGAATATGTTGCTTCTAAGGATGAACTTTCAGGTGCTGACATCAAAGTAAGATGAGATAGACTTCGACAGGTTCTAGAACATAGGCATACTTTCCAACGTCCGATAGTTACATTCCATAGGCTTAAGACAGCGTTTTACCCTGTATATCCTGTGGTTAGGGTCCGCGTGACAATCCTAATCAGTGGTTAAAAACTTTGAATAGCATGGCTCAAAATTGTCTGAAATGGCGCAGGTTCATCTATTTTTCATTCTCCCTCAAATTTTAACTTTATGAATTGGTTATATTTTTTCCACTGGTTTATATTTCCTCGAGTCCTATATTCAGTCAGTTATGTTTTCCATTACCGCCAATTCTGCTGCGACCTCTACTATTCTGGGATTAGGTCTGACATTCTCATCTCTTTGCCAATTGATTAGGTGTGCGTACGTACTAAGTCCTGCGTTGTTACTAACTGACTGTAAAATCCTCAAACAAAATAACTGTCCTTTGGAAGTTCACGGACGCGTTGATCACTAGTCTTCGCATTTGTCTACGGTCATTGCTAAGATATCAGTTTCCCGTACGCATTTATGCTGGACGGAGTCAAAGGTCATCGTATAGTCAGACTAAAATGAATACTGGACTATATAATGTACAATCTTTTATCTGAGATAAAGATTTTCTAAAAGAGCAGAGGCAATATTTATATTTATCTGCATAGTACATAGGTTGGATTTTAATTTCCTTATTTATTTTTTTCAGGCTATTTGTACTGAAGCTGGGTTATTGGCTCTACGAGAAAGAAGAATGAAAGTCACTGATGAAGATTTTAAAAAGGCAAAAGAGAACGTACTTTACCGGAAAAGTGAAGGTACACCTGAAGGACTTTATCTCTAACTTAACTCTTTCACTCTGTAAAATATCTGTGCAAACATGTTCTATTAACTAGTATCGTGTTTATTTCAGAGCATACCTTATTTTAATCTGTGTGTTCAAATATTATCTGAGCTCTTGTATTTATCATCAATTTCATGCTATTGTAAAACTAATATATTTAGGTTTAACTCTCAGCCGTCCACTTTTACTCAGAGGACTAGTGAGGCCCTCGTTTTATAACCAATGTTCGCATTTCGTATGTATTTAAACATCTAATGGCACGCTAGTGTTAGTATATCATGCTGACTAAACCAAGATTGTAACCTAATTAGCTGTGATGGTAAGATACAATAGTTAAGCTGGTGTCATCTTCATAGGGTCTAAAAACTAACGAGTCAGGTTTAGTGGCTTATGTTGTGGCTTAAAACCAGGAATGATTGTTCTTCCGTTGTACACACTAAATATGATGGGGTAGAACAGTGGTAACCTACCTTCAGTAACTAGACTGTATGTTCGGACCCAGCACTACGAGCAGACCATCAAATCATGTACATTCACACTAAATGTGCGGCTGAATACTAGGTACACTAGTGCCTCCCCTCGTCTTGATCTGTTCTATCAAGACTTCGTATTCGACGTCAAATTGTTAGGTGTCAAAAAATGTGTAACCTCAGCTTTAATGGTTGGATTGTAGTAAAATAACATTTCGCTATAAAGACAACTGCCTGATTTAAAGAAGTTACAGTTGGTTCAGTATATACTAGTCTTCAGCATAACGCAGGATTCCTAGAAGTGCAATGCGTTCTGTCACAGCATTGGAGAATTATTCTCCCACTAAGATTCACCGTCACTCTGATTAGTAGTAAAACTGGTGTCAATAAAATCTAGACACTTGAGCAAAATAATATTATTTCCTAAAGCTGTGTGATAGTATTTAGTCAATCAGATGCAACGTAGAACTTCGTACGTAAGTACATAGGTTCATGTTGCCATACCACATCAGCACAAAGATATAATTGTCAATTCAAATCCAATAGTAGTAGAGGTAGTAAGAGAATTAGAAGTAATCGGAGAGGTTAGGGTTAGAAGATACTATTCAAGAAGTATGATTCAGTGAGAAAAGTTTAGAGAGTCGAAACTAGAGGTGTTGAAGAATCCAGAAGATTAGGGTTTGAGAGAACACAAAGAATAAATGCACCGGCGCCATTGCGAACGATTTTGAGCCATGTCATTCAGGGTATCTAACCATCGATTATTATCATCTATGATCACCTATGATCGAAAACCAGTAACCTACGAATATCTTCTACTCTCACTGGCCATGTTTCACAGCCATATAGGAGAACGGAGCGAACTGCTGCACAGTACACCCGTCCTTTGATTAGAGAACGGATATCACGCCTACGCCATAAGTGACGCAGGTTGGCAAAAGCCAATCGAGTAGTATTTAAATGAAACATATAGTGATACACATATCTAGGTATCCACTACTTCGACGACAACAGGAGTTGTCAATGAAGTAAGGAACGATATTATCTGGGATGAGGTGTAGATTCTTAACGACAGTGTTTAACATAAAAATAGACTTCCACGTTTCTGTCCTCTAAAGATGATTGCATCTTCAAGGAAAAAGCCACATATTGAGAGAAGTACTACCAACTTAGTACTTTTGATCAGATTATTAATTACTCAGGTATTGGAAATGCGAGAGTAAAAAACGTTCTAGTTTGTTGGGTAACAAGTATTTGAGCATTCTAAAGCAAAGTCGGTAAATGTCCAAACGCTAAAAATACATGTAAAGAAGAACAATGCGGAAAGTCAGTTACCACGTAGAACTTCGTACGAACGTACATCAGTCCAAGTCGCCGTACCACATCGGCACAGAGACGCCACCGTCAGTTCAAATACCATAGTGGTAGAGGTATTAGCAGTAATGCAGATTACGGTTCGAAGATATTATTCAAGAAGCATAATCCAGTGAAATAAATTTAAAAAGATCAAGGTGATTAGGAATTCAGAAAGTTCGAATTTGAGAGAACACAAAGAGTGGATGCACACTAACCACTGCAAACGGTTTCGAGCCATGTCGTTCAAGGTCTCTAACCATTGATGACTTTCATCTCGCGGACCCCAACCAGGTAGCCCATATCTATCAACATGACGCAGTTCACTTATCAGTGAATTCGTCGATTTGTTCCATGTTTTGGTTTGGCCAACCCTAGCTTTGTCCCAACTTACTCTTACACCACAAAACATAGCTCGTCGAGGCATTCGGTCGTTAGGCATACGTAACACATGTACCAACCACGTCAACTGATGAATTTTCAACATTTCATCTATTGATTTGCCACCCCTACCTAGTACTCGTTTCCTAACGACAGCATTGCTTACTCGGTTGTCCCAGGATATACGAGCAGTGATTCGGAGACATCTATAATCGAATACTAATAACGTACGAATATCCTCAACTCCTACCGGCCATGTTTCGCATCCATATAGTAGGACAGAGCGAACTGATGCGCAGTACACTCGTCCTTTGTTTAGTAAACGGACATCTCGCCGATGCCATAAGTGACGCAAGTTGGAAAAAGCTAGTCGAGCCTTCTGCATAGTACCGAAATTTCGTCATACACCAGGCCATCAGTACTGATGAGACTCTCGAGATAAGTGAGGCGGTCTACACGCCCGACTACTTCACTTCCTATCACTAGTTCAGGTGCCGATGCAACCCAATCCTGAAGGAACATTTTGCATTTCGAGGGGGAGAACCGCATCCCAAACAAGCTTGCACTGTTGCTTAGGCTGATCAGAAGACTCTGCATTTTGTCAGCGTCTTCACCGAATAGGACTATGTCATCAGCATATTCTAAGTCAGCAAGCATTTCTCTTGGTAAACGGTCCACACCTGAAATGTCAGACGATATCTACGACAAAGTTAAACAAGAATAGGGAGAGTGGACAGCCTTGATGGACACTACTTGAAGTAATCAATGTCGATGACAGTGACTTCAATGCTGACGTACGTAGACTCAGTGAAAAGGAAAGACACGTGGATGGATCTTATGGTTTCGTGCCGACATTAGCCCTTCGAAACTTAACGTAGTTGAGAAAGCCAGTGGAAATCCAAAACAAAGGAAAGCAGTGGACCCTGATATTTTGGTACATGTGCTACGTATGCCCAACCACCGACTGCCTCAACTAGCAGTGTTTCTCGTTGTAGAAGTGGGTTGGAAGGCTAGGTGCGGCCAAAGCAAGACGTCGCACAGATCCATGAAGTCACTGACAAGTGAAGTCATTTTGGTAAGTGTCGATTACCTGGTTGGAGTCCGTTGGACGATAGTGATCGATGGTTAGAGACCTTGAACGACGTGGCTCAAAACCGTTTGCAGTGGTTAGTGTGCATCCACTCTTTGTGTTCTCTCAAATTCGAACCTTCTGAATTCCTAATCACCTTGATCTTTTTAAATTTATTTCACTGGATTATGCTTCTTGAATAATATCTTCGAACCGTAATCTGCATTACTGCTAATACCTCTACCACTATGGTATTTGAACTGACGGTGGCGTCTCTGTGCTATTGTGTGGTATGGCAACTTGAACTGATCTTCGAATGTACGAAGTTCCACGTTGCAGCTGACAAAGACAAATACGATTATAAGACTCAATCGAAAGTCATATTTTGACTTTGGGTATCGAATCGTGATCGCTAGTCGTTACGAAATAGGTGCCAATCATCATCCGTTATTACTGATTCACCTCATTTGAAACTAATACGAACTGAAGTAGGTTGAACAAATTGGTCCTGACATTGTAGGCAGATACCGACAACTGATGAGTACCAACAGGTGAGTGATATAAGGTTTTCTTCACACCAATTTCGGTTTTATTATTTTACCTAATGTTCTCATTATCAGGGACCAATGTATTATGCAATTATGATTTTATCAATTATATATAATACGCAGAGATCCTCGGTGTGAGCTTGTTAAATGTTAGATTATTGGGGGCAATCGAAATGAAGCCCTATACCTAACTACAGTGCTAGTTAGGACGTGTCAAAAAGGTGCATTTGTAAACTTTGAAAGAGTGGTGTTTTCTGTGAGATTTGAACCCGCATCTGCCAGAAACGTTATCACTGATCTATTTCGAAAACAGTTTTATCTGAATAAAGTGGATATTTTGTAACGAGTACTCCTAAGTGATAAGCATCAACAGGGTGCATCCTTTTACACTGTCACATTAAAAATTACGGGATTTCGTAAGATCATTGTAAAATTAATTAGTCATATCTCAATGTTTTAACTATTTATTTTTAAACAGTTGGTCACGCATCTTCAGTTTCAGTAATGAAAATTTTAATTCAGTCCATATTTGTACAGAAACGAACATGAAAATTGAGAACAAGATTTGTAGTAATTGCTTACAGATAGAATTTTATTTACAAATATAAATTACTGTACAATATATGACTGGAGTTGATCCTCATACCGGCTTATTGGATTCTACAGATAGCACTTACCAAACCAAAATGTTTCCAGTAATAAAATTTGTGTATGAAACTCCTGAAAATTTATACAGAACAATGACTAAATGAGACGTAACCCTTATGATGCTAAAATATCATTATGAGCACAATAACTACAAGAGAAACAACGACAACACCATGATCAATGACAAGAAAGTTAATTAGAGTTAAACTTACCTAAATTAACTTGATTGGAAGTTTTATAATGATGATGGAATGCCTAAAATTAATGAAGGAAATGCTAGTTACGAACACCAAATTATTGCATAAAATTTGAGTACAATTAATAACTATACTGTTATCACTGGTTGCGGAAGCGTAAGACACATCTTAACCATTTTAGTTGTCTTTTTCATGTCATTAATAAGAACAAGTCATCTATCTCGAAAAATGTCAAGACGTTTGATGACTTGGTGATTTATACATACCTAAAGTACTCAAATTGTTCCATGTATTAAGTTACGACTTTGAATTGTGAGCACAGATATATTCAGAAGTAATAAATTAGTCTTGTTTTGTTATCTGACAGACAGAGGTATAAAAGTTATGTAAAAGAACACAAGTGTATTTAGGTCCAAATTCTCACAACTTACATCTGTTCAGATGAGGACTAAAAGGCGTATCGTAGCGGGAAACTATACATATGTGACATAAATTTAGAAGAAATAAACGAAATTTGTGGATGGAAAGTAGGTAATAGTACTATGCTCAAGATTAAAGAAAGTTAAAGAATGAATGTACCTGAGCCATAGTGACGGATTTTGAGCCATTTCAACTAAGCTCTTTCATGATTAGTTAAGTTTGTTATTCTATGCTGTGCCAATAAATGGATACTAAACAGCTTAGTATACTAGGTTTCCAGAAACTAACAATGGTTGATTTCTTATTAAACTTGAGCAAGTGATCTGAAATAGGTTTTAGGGAGATAAATATAACAAACTACCAAGGAGCAGATAAAAAACGACCAAATGAACAATTACAATGAATAAGGTTAGAACATAATTAAAATATCAAAATGAACTTCTTTAAAAACAACGATGTTACATCATTATTTTGCTAAACTAACTTGCTTTTAGGATTCAACTTTAATTTATTCTATCCGCAGATCTTTCTTTCATCACAGAGAAGTCCAAGTTCTGATAAGAATTTTGTAGGGTTGTCGTCATTCAGACTACTGGAAATAAGATCATACATTCCAACAAACTTCGCATGATTCGTTATTTGCTCTACTGATACCTTGGCAATGCGAACGGCAAGTGCATAATACTTCCAAAGCCGAGAACTTGAGGTTACCACAGAAGTTGCATTCATTAGAATCTCTAGAAGAGTTGATAACTGTTCAGATGACTGCACACGTGAGACACTTTTGAATGTTGTAGAAGCATACAAAAGCCAGAAGTCTTCATTATCGGGTCTATCTAAACATCCGATTGCACACAGGCTTTGAGCTAAAAAGTGATCACCTAGAGCACATAAAGTTCGACACAGGGAGGGAACTAAAGAAGCACCATATATTTCAACAAGTTGTACACATATGTCGTGACGGATTCCAGGAGGGAGAAGTCCTAATTTAATGTGCTGAACTAATTCAAGAAAGTACGCTGGAAGTAGCTTGCGATCAAACTTGAAAGGCATATCAATGAACAGTGATTGAATGATATTAGGATAAGTTGAACTATCCAACTGATTCACATGGCTTGCTAAGAACATACTCATTAGGGCTAAAAGACGAATAAACGCATGATTTGGATCTTCATTTTCACAACTCACGATGCATGACTTATAGTGACTAATTAAGTGATCTAAAACTTCACGATAATCTAAACAATGAATAATGATGTATAGACAATAACTGAGCCATAAATAAGTGAAACTTCGTGGACACATTTTAAAGTTAACGAGACTGGTATTACCGGACTTTATATTCAACAAATTTTTATACGCTGAAATAACACTTTCGCAATCATCTTTCGGAAGAAAGATTAAGTTGCCCAAACACTCAATAAGATGGTATTCCATAGAATTCAATGTTTTTTTATGCCAATTTAAACATGTTATCAGAAATCCAAATTCAATCCGATGAGCTAAATTAAGGTTAACTCGTAATTTGTCAGATACATTACCAATCAAGGTTGACCAGTCAAGAGATGAATCTAAGGAAAACAGAGAATACACTGCAGATGGGAAAAACAAATCATCCACAAAGTTAGGAGAATGTAATGCTACAGTCAGTGCTATATCTGCTGCAATTTTAAACTTGGAATCGGCATTAAGAGTTTGAATGTATAAATGAGTGATATACAAAAAGCAATTGAAGCTAATATCATCCTTAATATTTTCGAATGATTCCAGTAACTGGGATAAGTTTTTCGAAATACCAGTTTCGGCGACTGCTATTTCAATAATTTCTTGGTTAGACAGGAGGGCTGGCTTGGAGAAACATGGTGAATCGGCAGTAGAAAATAAATTTTCTTGTGGTAAAATACCATTTAGTTGGTGATATAAGCGTAACCACCACAAAAAATAAATTAGTTTGTTCTCCTTAGGCAATGATTTGAGAGTATTCGTTAAGATAGTTGTTACTTTGTTATGTAAACCAACCTCTTGTTCAAGTATACACCATTGATAGACGAAGTATGCAAAAGATGACTCAAAATTTGATTCTTTGCTTGCCTTTGCATCCTGTTGGAATTGAAGAGTCATATATTCCAGAGATAATTGAATTAGTGATCTGCGGATTGGTATACTTAAATTAGAATGTCGCAATGCCAATCTACAGGCATGTAAAGGAAAATCAAAGGATTTTAGGCAATCAAAAAGCTTCTGCTTAACTTCTGTTGGATCAAGATTAGAACATAGCAAAAACCCAAATACCAGGTGGGCACATAAATCTGCAGGGTATGGGAATTCTTTGATGTCATTCAAGAATTTATGAAGGAGGTATGAGTTTTTTGATTCTGAACGTAGATATGTGAGATAAGCTGCATGCCAACGTTGTATTGTTGATAACTGAGAGGAATCTGATGGAGATATGGCTAAATTTTCTTTACACACTTCACAATATACGTCGTCATATTTTCCTTTATTTTGCTGACCAAGCAGTGACACAAAATCCGTGTTAAACAGGGATATAGCTGAGGGGTCTTTCGGTTTTGTTTTTTCAACAGTTGGATTTTTTGGATGCTGATATATACATGTTCTGTCCAAACATTCACCATCAAGAAAAAATGGGCAGATTGGGCGAAACGGGTCAAATTTATGTAAGGTTTCAGTATTTGGTTTTACTGCTGAGACCGGCTTCATATTTCTTATAGTAAATTTTGATGCAGTTGAGTCAAACTGATAGTTGGCAAGAAACCACGTAACCACTTTCGCTCTTTGCAGAACGTCTAGCGACAAAATAATAAGATCTCTGCGTAGATTCACAGATGACAAAGCAAAGCCTGTTTGTATTATGTCTGCAGTCGAGCGGTTTACAGAATTTAGCACATCTGAATATAATTTTTGGGCTGAGGCCAGTTTTCTCTGATATGTAGCATTTGTTCGTTGGGCCTTGAGAAGGGATTTATTAGCTTCTTTGTACAACAAAGCTGTATGCTTGCTGCGCCTACGAAGTTCTGACAACGTAGTTGATAACTTCCGAACGATTTTACGTCGTTCATCTATTAAATGTTGTTGGCGTTTAACAGTTAGTTTTAGTCTGAGAAGTTCCATTTTTCTCTGTAACAACATTTTTTCCTCTTGATGAAAACGACTAATTTTCTTAGATTGGTCAGGAATATTCGTGATGGTAGGTTTAGAAGCGCATTTATTCATTGCTGAACCCTTGAAAACAGCACCAACCGGTTGATTAAGGGAGTCATCACTATCTGATGAATCATGTACCGTAATTATAAATTTTCGCTTATTTTTCAAAGTTGATGAATCACATGATGCCGTGACTTTCGAAAAAACACTCATAACATTAGGTAAGTTATGAAGCAGTGGGAGCTCAGTCTTTGGTTGAGTTCTACCCACTGAAGCTGTTTTTTTCTGAAGCAGCATACTCCTTAGGGCACGACTTCTGAGTTCAATTTCATCTAATTCTGTTGAGCACTTCAGAAACAAATAACAAATGAAGGAAACCTACGTTCTGGACAACTGAATCATTTGCCTCTGTGTATGCTGAGAGGAAAGCATCAGCATATTCTGATCCAGACTCTTCCTCGGAGGTAACAAGTTCCATTGGGACATCATCCAAATTCACTTCACATAATGACGTTTGCATGATGTCATCTGAAGGACCTAATAAACACACTATGTAAATGAACACGATATACTGCCTGCTGGTGGGCTGAGGGACGGAGATGGATCTTGAAGAAGTGGCCCCCGTTTTGGTTGAGATGATAAGGGCACAGGAACACTGAAGAACGGACTTCCATTTCCTTGAAAAGGTGGTATGATATATGAGAAAGGGTTATGAACAAAAATGTTTTGCATAGGACAATGGTAATTTTCCATTTACCTAAAAATGTCGAAAAAGGTTAGTGAGTTAATTTAGAAATTCATAAAGTAATGGTAACTTTAAAGCTTTTGGTGATAGATATGAGACGTTATCTAATGTTTTCGTTGAGAGGAGTCTTATATCTTTCAGTTAATCAGCTACAACGTAGAACTTCGTAGGTACGTACATCAGTTCAAGTTGCCATATCACTTTAGCATAAACGCAATCGTTAATTCAAATCCCATAGTAGTGGAGTTAGTAGAAGTACTAGCAGTAGTCGTAGAGATTAGGGTTCGAAGACAGTATTTAAGAAGTGCAACCTGGTGAAATAAATTTATAAAGAAAAAAAGGTCATGAGAAATTGTGATTAGAATTACAAAGACGAGAAATGGGTGCATCTGCGCTATTGAAGACGATTTTGATCTGTGACATTTACAGTCCCTAACCACAAGTTACGATTGCTTCGCCGACCCCAGCCAGGTAGCCTACACCTACTAACATGGCTCAGTCCAGTTGTCTGTGGCTTTATGGGTTCGTGTCATGTATTGGTTTGACCGACTCTAGCTTTCATCCAGCCTACTGCTACACTAGAGAGTATCGCCCTATCGATATAGTCCGTTAGACAGATATTAAACATGTTCTACCCGGCCGTGGCTTCTACCTAGATGGGGTGGTTGGAGTCACCTATCGTGATGACCCAACCAAGCTATATTTGGCTGGCACACATACTCCTTTAGGTCCTACCATGCCAGGAGATGCTGCCTCCTTACAAGGAAGGAAGGGGTTAAAAAAGGTCGACCCTAAAACTGTCACACCTCACCTTACCTCACGGCCATTTGAAGAGCTGAGCTAACACTGAAAAATTCTCCAATAGAAAGGCCGTGCGTGACCGGCTTCAAGTACTTAGTCTTTGGACTCTGCAGTAACGCTCCATGTCGCTAAGATCGACACTAATCCAACTTTCTTTTTGGAATCCTCAAGAGATACGCTTCCATAGTGTACGCAGGCGGGTAGTTGACATCTGCCCTCATATCCGTAACAACTCACGAGACCGAAATGGTGATAAAAAAATCTTTCCTATACCTCCTAATAACTCTATACTTCCATGACTAACCCTTCTTTTATTCCTTAGTCATCTCGCGCCGCTGATGCAAACAGTTTAAGTACGCGAAACGCTATTACTGGTCTCCTGAAACCCCGTTCTAAACTACATGCTGGAGCTTTTAATGACCGTACATTGTGTTAAATAGGGCAACAGGAGTCCTAGGCTAGGGCTCTGCAATCCCGGGCCATCGATATATGCTGCGTCTCAGAAACGCGCATACAGGATCCGCGTAGTCATTCATTTGACCTCACCATGTCAAAATATAGAACCAGCTCGATTTACTCTTCGCGTATCTGGAAGCCATGCTGCTACGTACCTGGGTCTAGCCGGTGTAGCTATAGAAAAGCAGAACTAGCTCTCCTAGAATGAACCCCAGTAGATAACCGCTTGTGTGCTGTCCGACTAAGCGGAACACTGAGGACTCGGATAAATAGGAACACTCGCCGTCGCCGATTCATTGTCTCTACCTACTTGCAGTAACTAATTCCAATGACAGTGACTTCAATGCTGACGTACGTAGACTCAGTGAAGAGGAAAGACACGTGGATGGATCTTATGGTTTCGTGCTTCAAAGATCAGATAATGGCGACCGTCTATTGCAACCATGATCAGATGATCTCCTGTTTCCAGCAAACACTAACTTCAAGCACATGGAAAAACATCTCTTGACCTGGCGAACCCCAAAGTCGGCCCAACTAGACCATCGGTGGAGACGATCCATTGAAGATGCCGCTCATCCTGCAGCACTTGCTTAGATTCAGACAATACGAGCGCGTATTTTTCTGCGTCCTACTGGACCCAGGAAAGACACTGCAAGGAAACCACTTAGGGTTCTAGTAAACGATAACAAAGCCAAGATTATATTTCAGGACCAACTATAAAAAGTAAGACAACCATGCAAATCATGCCCACCCTTGGGCAGCTTGGAATAATATCGAAAAAGCTGTGGAAACAGCAGTGATATCTACCAGTAAGATAAACCATAAGGTTAAGGAGAAACAGTGGATTTCATTAACATCTACCAAACTGATAGGTGCTTGAAAACTCATCCCATCTGACTCCAAACGTGACAAACGTAAACAACTACTCTGAAGTATCAAGTAAACTGGAGTTAGGAATCCGACTGCCCGTGAGACTATCTCGGAAAACGAAGGGCTTATTATTCATTCTCAATCTAGGTGATTGGATTGATATGCAGAACATTGAGGATCAGTTCAACTAGCCTTCAGCCAAACTTCGGTTGCCCAAGATCTCCAGTCATCCTGAATCGCAAATCGACGTAAGTCGTCAAGTACTTTATGAAGTTGAGAAAGACAGCAAATCTGAAGTGAAGGAGGGCAGCGGGTTCTGATAGATTGACCTCTGATTTTTTAAGGATGGTGGTCCAGTGTTTTGCAGTAGACAGACTAAGATTCTACCTAGAGCATGGGAACTGAGCATAATCCTATCTGACTGATCTTAATCACTATCCCAATCTATAAAAAAGGAGACATGTCCTATTGTGACAGCCACAGAGGAATCAGTCTAACTAGTGGTGTCTAAAATATTGGCTTTGATAATGCATCGGCATCTGACTAGGGCTTGTGAAGAACGGACTAAAGAAAAGCAGACTGGTCTCAAACCTGGGTGTGGTTGTATAGACCATATATTTACACTACGACAGGTCGTAAAACACAAACACATTTCGGCGTCCAACAATTGTTGTGTTACTTTACCTAAAGGCGGTTTCTGACTGGGTCGACAATGAGATTCTGTGTTAGTGTCCATCATTGAAAGATGTACCAAAGAAGTATATTAACGTTATACAAGCTCTCTACTCGAACACTACATTTCTTCGAGTCTTATATTTGATCAATAATTTCTTTCACTACCGCTAATACTACTGCTACCTCAACTATTCCGGGATTTTCGGTCTGACATTCTTAACTCACTGTGATATGGGAACTTTAATAGATGTATGTGTCCCAAGTTCTCCTATGTATCTGACTGTGTTCAATAATATACCGTTAACTAGGTGGTATTGGCTTTCGAAACAATATACCGATTTAAAGGTATACAGATTGGAATATACCAATAATGGAAAGCACTCAAGATTTTTTTTGTCTCAAAATTTGATATTCTCTCAAAGTTGTTCAGGTAAATGCTTGATTTCGATTGTGAACGTGGATGGGTAATCAGGTCATGAATATTATGCTGTGACTGTCCGTTACATTGCGCTTTGAACAATCGGATGGTGTCGTTGTTTGCTTATCAGTATTCCATATTAATTAGATGATTTTTCATTTTTTATCACTAATGCCTGAACGGATAAACCGTAGCTCTTTTGAATTTAATGATCGAAACACTTTTAGGTCATATCAGGGAAAAATAACTAGGAAGTAAACATATTAGGTTTTAGAAATCAAGTATTCTCGACGTAAATTTTAAGGCGATATGCTTGGGTATGAACGTATTAGATATCAACTAAAAGGATTTGCAGTCATGTCGGTGTGAATTTTTAATGTATCAAAACTGTAGTATATAATTAAAGCAATCAGAATCCCAATAGTGTACTTGTTAGCGTTGCTCATGCTCGATGTCAGTATAGGGAAGAGCAATACAACGCGTACAGATGTATTAATTACTCGAATTCCTTGAGATTTATCCTACCTTACAAAGAGCTTTATAAGATATACCCTTAGTTTAAATTGCTAAAGCTCAAAAAGATCGAGTTTTCCATGTCGTCACCAAGTGAAAACGTCATGCTATGAAGGAAGAGCCATGAAAATTACTTACCCTTGATACCGATTTCGATCAGAAAAACAATTTGCTACTGTTTTATCTACTTTTTAAAGATGAACTCTCACAGGAATCATATTGCGAAAGGGAAAATGAATAATTGGGAATATTCTAACACTTAAAGCGCTTGGGAATATAAGAATTCGACTTAACGTTTTCGATTCATCAGATGACGTTATTTTACTGACATTCCGAAGGATTCACACCGTTTGCAAGGACATTTAGAATCCGATGAAAATACAAGAATGCTGGCCTCTCGAACCAGCAACGATAAACTTGCATTTGTTTATAACGACTAAAGGCCGCCTTTACTCAAGAGCTCAACTAATATCTTAACATAAAACGCATGCGTTTAAATCCAGACGATATCAATATTTTAAAGTATCGGTGTGGGGTGAGTTTGAACCGGATGACTTAACAAAAAAGTGGCTTGATAATGAACACTAACTAGGTGAACAAACCATATAATGAGCCAGAACTGATGAAAAACTGAGCATTAGTTTAACTGTAGATACTTTGCTACTTAGAAACTAATATCTGAGTAGGAAGAAGCTTGAAGTGACCAGAACACAAGTCGTTAAACAAGCTTAAAGAGAGTCTGTTTCAAAAGAAAAGAGAAAATAGTTCTTACTGCATTGTAAAGCCGAGACAAGTTAGGAAATCAACGCACTTAAAGTCAGCGCGAGTATAGCACGTCATTGTCATTTGAAACTATGTAAACTAAATATCGGCCTCCTGTGAGTAAAATTCATTGTGTAGTAGTGATGAAGATCTAACTGTTCTTATTTTATGCCCTTATATGTGAAACTATCAAAAAACAGACCAAACACAAATATTTAAGTAAGCTTTACTTCAAACTTTACTTGGCAGAACCAGCGAGTTACTTTTTTCTTGAAACCTGAGTCTGAGTGGTAGAATAAGGTTATTGATAGTGTACAGACAAGTTTTAGTCGTTCCTCTCCTGAAACTGAGGGGTAAAACGAGTTATTTGTCAACAATATATATTTTCCTCAAAGTACACTAGGAATCAGTACTTGAGGAACTACATTAAAAGTTAGAAAGGATACCAACAGACTGATGGCGTAAATATGAAAGAAAAACAGTACTGAATTTACTGGCCGATTCGCAGACATC